TACAACAAAAAAAGAAAACAAACAAACAAATTTTACATATAGTTATATGTACAGTACATGTTACAGTACGTACGTATACTGATGATTAAATACAGTAATTAATTTTTAAAATTTAAGGTTTCCACCGTTGACCGGTGTTTGACCGCCGCGTTCCTCCGCAATTTACCGCTGCGTTCCGCGGCGGAAACGGTTTCAGCCGCCGATTTATGTCCACGGTGGTGGAAATTTTCTGACAATATCTGAGCAAATTTTCGTCCGCGGTAAACCTCATCCGCGGGGTCACGCGGGTTTTGAAAAAGTCGCGCTGAGCGTACTGTAGGTTACATATAGACAAATAGCAGAACGAAAACTATTCAATCGAATTTATGAAAGTTTGCTTTAAAAAATAATGATAGAAACATTTTTAGAAAATCAAAATATTCTAGAAAAGCTGAGCATTATACTAGCAAAAGTCAAGACATCATAATAGGCTAGTGTGTCTTTGTTAAAATGTCTGGAGGTTGAATATGTTAAGATTTCAAAGTCATCGTAAATCCGGTTACTAATGTAGATAAATTTAATTTCTAAAATTGTAGCCTACTTTTTTAAGACTTTTCAGTCTACGCTAAATGTTTCATGGAATTGTGACACATAATTAAATAATACAAACGGTTTAAAGACTTATGTATGAGTTATATGCCCTTGAAATGACCTTTAGAAATTATAAATAACAATAATGACCGTTTGTTTAAGAAATCATACTGATTTATAAATTAAAAAACATACTACAATATAATTATAAAAATAAAACTTGATAAAATTACATTATTATCATAAGCTTATGGTCAGCTCTCAAAATAGGTGTGACCTAGATAGTCTGTTATTTCATGCATACTAATATTGCACTTGAAAAGAATGATATGTTCCGGAGCAAAATACAAAACTGTTTTTGGTAGGTTTAAAACGTTTAGCAATGATTAAGTGCATGCGCCATTCGTTCTTAAGACGGTATACAAACATATTTCTTTCATACAAATATTTTGGAAGTATTATTGTTTACACAATTGTTGACGATAACTTTGTAAGCTACAGGCAGCAGATACATATTTTTCAATAGTATGAAACTTAATGTTGAGAAATCAACGGTCAGATTTTAGCTTTATTTCTTAATTTATATGGATATTCTAAGAACAATTATTTTCGCAAAACTTTGTGATTTAATCATATAGCCTTCAGATCAGTGAGTAACAGTTTTCATATAACGCGTGTGACTGATATCATAAAAATGGAATACCTGTGTCGTATGGAGACGATTATGGTTAGTTTCGGTAAAGAATTTTAAAACAAGAAGCGCCTCAATGCGACGAAAACCAAATTTTCAACGACCAAGTTTTTATGTGACAGCAATAAATAGGTTTAAGTGCACTGACGTTATTTAGTAGATGCTGAAAATTCTATTGTTAGCAAATAACCTTGACCTTGCTCCCAGATATCTAAGTGGCAATCTTTAGCTGCCACACAGCAAGTTTGGTGTCAAAGGTCAAAGCAAACTCAAGTTTTTACGTGAAAACTGAATACATTAACCTTGATCACAGACACCTGGGATGCAATCCAAAGCTGCATCTTGATATAAGCTACCCATACATACAGTTTGGTGTCAAAAGGCCACAGCAAACTCAAGTTATTGAGTGGAAACTGAATTCCTATTTTAAGTAACAGTGACATTGACCTTAACAATTGACACCTGGGTAGCAATTCCAAGTTGCCTCTTGATATAACTTACCCATACACCAAGTTTGGTGTCAATATGCCAAAGCAAACTCAAATAATTGAGCGGAAACTGAATTTCTATTTTTAGAACCAGTGACCTTGACCTTGATCACAGACACCTCGGTAGCAATACCAAGCTGCCATTTTACATAAGCTATCCATACATCAAGCTTGGTGTCAATATGCTAAAGGAAATTTAAATAATTGAGCATAAACTGAATTTCTATTTTTAAGTAACAGTGACCTTGACCTTGATCACAGACACATAAGTAGCTATCCCACCCTGCTTCTTGATATAAGCTACCTACACACCAAGTTTGGTGTCAATAGGCTAAAGCAAATTAAACTTATTGAGGGAAACTGAATTTCTATTTTAAGTAACAGTAACCTTGACCTTAATCACAGTAACCTGGGTAGCAATCCCAAGCTGCCTCTTGTTCTAATCTATCCATACACCAAGTTTTGTGTTTATAGACCACAAGCAAACTAAAGTTATGGAGCGGAAACCAAAAGTTGACCTCCCCCGCCGAGTTCGGCATTACAATAACCCGGTTTTCAAAAAAAAATCGATTAAATGATTTAGGCAATTAAAATCTTAAAACTACAATTAAAATTATATATCAGAGAGTTTGAACAAATTGAAGTACATTTGTCTTTTGCATTGCTATCGAAATAGTAATTCAAATTGAAATTGGAAATTTTCTCACTTTCGTTTTATCTTCAAATTCGATAGTGATCTTGTGTATTGTTTTTAATGTATTTCAAAAAGGAATAATTGTTTATTTTAAATGTGTTGCATTCATGGAAGAGGAACTAAGTTCAATTCCTTATTGGTGAATAAACTTGTTCTGTTTTGTTCTGTTTAATATCTTCATTTTAGCTTTTGCAGAGGAATGACATGTAAATTACTGATTCTTGAAAATCGTCCTGCAAGCATTGTTGTTGTTGGTTTTTTGGTACCATTAGTACTTTCTCCTATGTTTTTTCTGATTGGATGATTCATGTATTCCTCACTTAAATACTTAAAAATCACCCTTAGGATGTGTTGCCTGCTTTTAAATTTGTCATATGCAGGTTCCCCTTTCAAAATTCCATATCCAGATTCTCCCATGATTGTTTTCTCGTTAAGAGTACATGCATTTAACTTCTTTGAAGCCATTCAACAATTTCATGGTATGGAACTTACGTGTTACAACGAAGGTTCCAAGTCAACTACTATATGAACAAATTTGTTCTAAATTTGAAACTTTCCGTTTCCAGGAGGCCTGTTCATGAACAGTCACCATCACAACGAGCCTGTCACTTTTTCCGTTTTTGGACGCTCTTTATGGATTTTTTGTTTTTATTCTATTTTATCGCAACATCGCCGTCGTTTATGCGGTATGGAAGCTGAACAATGTGGCCCAATTTCATTCAATCTGAGATAATTCTACGATCCTTGGAGATCGATCATCACTACATTTTTTGTTGTTGTTTTTCTGGTACTTTCAGTTCTTTTAATTCTTTTTATTTGCCTATTGTAAGTTGGATGATTCCAGTATTCTTCAGTTAAATACTGTATTATCACCCTTAGAATTTGTTGCCTGCTTTAAAGCTGCAGGCCTCCAGATGAGTCAAAATATTTCAATAAAATAAAACTTGAGAGATATGTAAAACAATTTAGCAAATGTAAAATAATTCAAGATTAAAGTAACAATTTACATGTTATGTGCGGTAAATGGCTGTTTTTCAGTTTTGTAACTATTTCTACTGCGTTTCTAACGCAGTTAAGGCTATTTATGCATATTTCTACCACTTTTTGGTAGTTTGCATGGGTGGAAAGTGCAAATTATAATGTGGAAACTGCTTCCTTTTGGTTATTTCGCACAATCATACATTCAAATACATTTTCAAAATTTTCATGAACATTAGCGTGAATCTTGAGGAGTGCTGCTTTAACAGCTAAGCTTTTAAATGCAGGCTTCATAAGTTCTATAACAATTCCGCTTTTCATGGATATCTATTTAGTTTAAGATTAAATGTTCCATGATAATTACCGCCGTAATAACACGTTTTCAGATGCTGTAAATGTAAAATTTAATGTAAAAAGTTCAATTCTGCTTAAGGTGGACGTGAACAGTAGATTGCTCTGTACAGTACCGTCGTCCATGAATAAGCTAAATCGGAGATCAAATATGCAACATTTTCAACTTATTCCTATTAGGGATTCCTTATTATCTCTATTTCAACGACGATTTCCGTGATTAAAGGTGAAATTCCAAATGATAGGGTATTGATAAGATACATCATTGTTTGCATGCTTATGAAATACTGGTTTCAATTTATAGTCGTAATATCGTATTCAGTTTTCACATCCTAGAATTTAACATATTTTTTTAACCTTATCATGTTGCTTCAGTTTGTGCCTCACTTGATTTGCAACGCGCAATATTACAATCTATGTGATTGCAGACCTTCTGGTTCGCTTAGAATCTTTTAATACTTATTTATATTATGTTATCGAACACTTTATCATCACGTAACACGATATAATTCTATAGCATCTTTGCAGTGTCCCCTATACATATCTGTACGTAATGATAATTGAATGGAATAAATTAAAGTAATTAAAAATGAAGAGAACGTAAAAATAACCTTCAATAATAATTTACTAACGAAAAATTAATACACACACCAACATATACATATATTTTAGAAAGGCTATATCATTCAAACTATATGTGGTTAAATGTGAGCGATATAGGACAGAACATATTGATGATAGTATTGTCAGTCAAAACTTTATAGCAAACAAATTCTCTAATACTTGAAGGTACAATGATATTAATTACGTGTTAGCGGAATTGTGCAATATTGCAATATTTGTTGATATGCCTTTGTCAATATATTTAAGCTTTTGTGGACTTCAGCATAAAATTTTATTTTTTAAATATTATCGGTTGTTAACTTCTTACTAGTTCTTAAAACAAAAATTAACAATTACCAGCTGCCAAATTGATCGATTTATACTCGTTACCCAATATAATTACTAGTATCTCAATAAATGATAGCATATGTTCTATTTATTCATTTATTTATTTAAATTTACACAAATAGATACACGGATTTACTTTTAGAAGTACTCTTATCTCGTAAAATGATATGTTGTAAGGTTCCCTTTAGTAAATGGTATAAAGATTAGAACAATAAAGCTTATATAATCGCTTATACAATACCATGCTTAAACTGCAAGAATGCTTATTAAGTCTTACTGAAGGGTTGCTTCGAAACGGTCAGTTCTGGAATGGCCTCCTTATCCAGATATTCTTTTCTCTTCTTCTTTTCTGCAAAAGTATCAACAACAAATCAAATAATATTTTAGCCTTTTGTTGGCAAATGCATGGAATTATCAGTACATTATATCTATATAATTAAATATCAGCGTTTTACCTTGTTTTTACTATCTAATGTTTGCATCATGATATGCAAGATAACCTTTCGCCTTGTTTTTTTATACTTTTGCCTTGCATTTTTCAACGATATATGTCTCAAAATAAGATAAACAAAAACGCCATAGAACTTTCTTTACAAATAGATATTATCAAGTGGCATTAATGCATTATGTTCCTTGATAGGATAATGCAATTGGGTATGAATTTGTTCATTAGTGTTACAAGCACTTTAAGGTAGAACACCCTTAATGGGCACTATAAGGAACTGTAAAATTGACAACAAATGACATTTATATGCCTTAAATGTCACCTGTATGCAAAATTTAAACAAAATTTACCGTGTGGGTTATGAGTTATGGACATTTTTCTGAACTAGAACGTTGCCATTAGAAGAGCTTTTTTCAGATATGGGGAAACTCTAAATAATCTATAGTATCATCATTATGAAAAATGTTTTCTTATTGCTCATTGTTAATAAACAAATAATGACATTTAGGTAACATATTAAACAAGCAAAATAATTGTTTTTAAACGAAATGTTTTTAATATATATAAAAATGTAACCCTACCGCATCACTTTTTAAACAATTATTTCACCATTTCCCTGTGTAAAAGCCTTATTTAAAATATCCCTTAAATTTTCCACAATGAGGGGCTGTTTTCAAAGTTTGCCTAAAATTTCTAAAATGTATATTGGTTGGTCTTGCAAAATATAAAATACTTTTACCGTGTAGTTTTTATTTTATTAAATTTTGAAAATATCTGGTATCATATTTGCTATTAAATTTGGCATTATTTAGTAAATAAATACCTAAACAATTATATAATTAAAATGAAACACTTTTTTCTTCCATTAAGGATCTGAAAGATTAATAAAAAAATGTTTAAAAGGAAAAAAAAAAGAATGAAAAAAAGTTGCCTCTTCTGGGGTTTGAACCCACGCCCCTCAGTTTCAATGCACTTTACAGTGATTCTATCCTATTTGAATACTCTTCAAAGTGGAGATAGTGCATTAGGGGTGTACTACCTTAAAGCTTGTCAAGTAATTAATGCTTATTTTCTAATGTTGTATCACAAGAAGATCAAGCTATTAAAAAGATTTGCTACATAGCAATAGTTACGATATTTTAATGGCTCTTCCCAATTCTTTGCTATATTTGTTTAAAATGTGTAAATCAACATTAATTATTTCATAACCGCTAAATTGTTATTATCTTAATATAATTTTCTTTAAATGATTATTTTATTTAAACATTAAGTATAAGAAGGGGTCTATACATAGTGTAATGCAAATGTTTATCATTTCTTTCTATTTCCTTTCTTTAATTTCTTTTTATGACATTTAATGTTTTATGTTCTCTTTAAATGAGTTATGACATAGTTCATAATGATTAAATTAATTCAGGCTTTCAAGATTGATATAACAATCATACACTACGAACATATCAATGATGATTCTAAATTCTCACCTGTCAATGATTCGGGTAATGTTGGCAAGTTAGCTATTGGTTCGCTCGGTATGTTTTTAACTTCATCATTCGCCTTTTCAGCCATATCTCCTTTTTACCTCTGAAAAAATAAACAATAAGTTTATAAGAATACTAGTTTCTTGGCTTACGATAGGCAGTAACTGTAAATCATGGAATTATGGTAAAATATTAACAACTTTGTAACAAGTAATAGCATAATGTTTAATACATGCATATAAAATCTGTAACCATAACTTACATTGAACCATATACAACATTGATAACATTGTGTCTATATAAAGTTAAAACAAAAATACCTATTTCATAAACACGGTTTCAATCTTATGTTCTGTCTATAAATATTTGAACATAAATAACTTGCAAATAGCAAGCCATATTGTTGGGATCACGATATTATCACCAAGACAAGAGTTTTTGATCAACTATCTTATACAATACAATCCAAATCCAGCCCTATCCGAAACTATGTTATGCAAGCTGTAAATCACAGAGATTATATCGTAATTACTTGGTTCTTCTTTACAATGCAGGTTTAATTCAATCAATAACCATTTACTGAATATACACAGGTTGTAATTGGATGCGGGTTAGCCGCATTGCGGGTGAGCAATTCTGTTTTGTTTGTGTAATTGATATGTATCGCTCTTCGTCGGATTCGCGTGTGCCTTGGTTAAATTGTTGGAGTTTACAACATTCCGTTCATGAAATACCTTCCGGAGTCAGTGAAACATATCATTCAGGCATCAAGTCACATTAATACTTTTTCTATCATTATTTATAACTTTGTATAAATATCTATTTAATACAGCTTTGAGTGATGTACATGCAAGTTAAATTTTAATTTGGCAAATACAAGATTTCATTGTGGAATCGCGGAACAGCGGCCTTCCAGTTTTCAACGAGTCTTGCAGAGCTTTTCTGCCATTCCAGTATCGTATAATATAAAAGCGCGAGCGCGTCCTTGATCGACCTCTTGCACGCTTTAAAAACATCTTAGTTAATCCACATTTAAATTTAAAATGGTCAATGAGATTCCCAGAATAAAGTAATTTAAAAAAAATACCATTCATTTTGTAATTTAAAAATGACCAATGAAAACTCTTTTGATATTCAGTTCTTCCCTGTAAATTTTACAAGAAGTCAGACTGTACACAGACCTAACTGATATTTAATGTTTGTTCCTCTATCTTTCTATCCTAGTTCTTTGATGATACAAGTGTTTTAATATCAGGAGGAAATTGTTTCATATTCTTTAAATATTTTTCCCTGTTTGCTATACTATAAAAGTATATGGAATATATGTACCTATGAAATAGTACTCACGGACATGACCCGGACGCGCACCACTGACGCGGATCACGGATCGCGTACCAATGGAATAGCGGCTTAATGGTCATGTATCAGACATTCCTGCTATTAACAAGTCTACTTGAAGTATATTATATTTGATGTTGAAATCAAGAAGATACAGATTTATGATTGTGCAACTGCTTAAAGTTGTTTTTGATGTGTTTTGAGTAGTGGTATATAAGTGTATCACTTATCTCAATCTCACTGTGTATGTCTCTGCATGGTTTTTGGTGTAAATGCAGAGGTTTATGAGTTTATATATCTCATCTCACTCTGTTTTGCATGTGCTTATGTTCGACCAGTGATATATGAGTATTTTACTCAACACAATCTCATGTATGGAAAGCTTTGACTGTCTTATAATTATAAAACTGAATGTTTTGTCAAAATAACAATATATTGAGTCAATCTTTCTTTACTCAATGTGCACTCATGAATGTATTGCGGAAGTATCTGTACATTAATGCAACTGAACACTATATGATGTCAATGTGTCTTTATATGATGTCAATCTATTATGATACGATACGAATTTTTGAATACTTTATGTGGAACCATCCTTATAAAAGGACAAAAAAGCAATACATTCTGTCAATCTGTCCCTTAATGATGTCAGTATACATTCTGTCAATCTGTCCTTTAATGATGTCAGTCTGTCATTATTAGATGTTAAGTTATGCATATATTATATGGAATAATTATTACATACAGTTAACAATATAATTATGATGTCAATGTCTCCCTCTATTATGTCAATCTATTAATATACGATATGCAATTTTCAAAAAAATATGTAAAACCCTTCCAAATACCAGTATAATATGCGGAATGATCCTTATATACAGTAAAGAGTCACCTTACCAATATATAATGTAAATCTGTCATTATAGGATGTCAATCATTCATTAAACGATGTGCATTTATAAATAAATATTGTGGATCCATCTTTATAAAGAGTCAAAATAACAGTATAGTATGTCCGTTTTTCCTTGTATAAGTCAGTCTTTCATTATATGATGTGCAATTACGAATGTATAATGCTGAACCGTTCTTATATAGAGTCAAAATAACACTCAATTATGTAGAATTGTCTTTATACAGAGTCAACTTAACAATATATGATGTACAAGTGTCCTTATATGATGTGCTTTCATAAAATATAGTATGTCGAACCAACCTTATATAGAGTCGATTAACAATAAATGTGTCCTTATATGATAATACGATGTGCATTTATGAACAGCTTATGTGGATCCATTCTTATGTTGAGTCAGAATAGCAATATATTATGACATCTTTTGTTACAAAATGTACATCATATCATGATAGATTGGCCTTTAAAGCTTACATGCCTGGTAAATCTATTCAGTTTACATATTTTTTACCAATAATACGGATATAACCTTCATTTGAATAATTATGCTATGAGACTCTGTTGCTATGGTAATCATAGTTTTAATTTGAATTTTGAAAAAAAAATCATTTTTCACTTAACCTCTTCCACATGCTTACATACAAAAATTTTCAAACATATAATTTAAATAAAATAGAAAATCTTCTTTTACGCAACCCTGTAATGTTTACGAAAATTCCAAGATAAACGTCCGGTAATATACAATTACACATCTGATAAGGAACATGAATAGCATGTTTTAGAATATCGTATTTTATTATTTATCGCTTGAATGATGTTCTTAACATACTTTTTCTCGAAGGGTTTGGGAATTACGTGGCACCAACGCAGTAAAGATCATAAGTGGACTTTTAGCTTGAGTGATGGAGGAAGACCTCGGATGTCCCTTTTTACATTATTTCAGGCACAAACGGGCACCGGAGTAGAACTACCAACGTTCCGTAAGCTAACGTTCTCACATGAAAAATCCAAAGACCCTGACTCAAATCGAACCTACAGTGGTGAGAGGCAAGCGGTTTGAAGTAAATGACATTACCAATCTTATAATACCGACTCCACGACACTATAATATATGTAAATAAATTGGTCGGCTTTTTAATATGCTTCCGAGGGATCAATAAATTTGTTTCCAGATTTTTATACTTCACAACAGCAGGTGTCAAGTGCTATGTGGCAGCTGTAAAAAGTTGGCCCGTTCATCACTTCAATGTTGTTATATTTGTCTGGTTCTTCGGGATTATTGATGCCAGCGCTATTAAGTGTTGAGAATAGAGTACCACTTAAGCCTGTGCTAGTGGGCTTGAGGGATGTTGCATATTCATTATTATCCCTCATGTATAGACTCAATCGAACCGAGTCTGCAATTATTTTGTAATTTTGTTGTGATTAATGCTTCTGATGGATCACTTTGTTTCAAGATTTTTATAAATAAGTATTATAGAACAGAACAGAACAGGTATTTTATTAAGACTTGTACAAAGTACATCATCTACAATACATTATATTCACATATGTAATAGCTGCATGAAAATTAACAAACAAAAGCAGGATATCACATTTTACGTATACACTAGTTTTATGATAACAAACAAACATGCAATCAATCAATCAATCAAACAAACGAACAAACAAACAAACAAACATGTAGCTATGGAAAAATGTGTATTTACTATCTACTTTCATAATTAAATAAGATGCTTTTATGGATATTCTTGGAATCAAAAAAAAAAAACATTTGGAGAATGAACATTAATTGTAATCAGACAGTAGCAGTTGAAAGTACATACCTAATGGAAAGAGCTTCTTTAACAAATTTGGATAAACGTATAAGCTCATTTTTATTTTTTGAGTTTAACAGTTGGGTAAATTTGTAAACTGATGGATTTCTGTAATAGTAGGCTTTTAAGTATTGTTTTCTTATAACATCATAGCATTTACATATATACAGATAAAATGGTACTCGTCTTCAATATCTAAATCATTGCAAAACAAACAATATCTTTCTTCACGAGGGATTCTATTTCTTCTAAATCTACCTGTTTGAATTCTTAAAGGAAGGCTATTCATTCTTAATCTACAAAAATAAAATCTAAAACACCTAGGTAGTATATTTAAATAACATTCATATTCAAAACAAGATTTAACGTTTCTATTTATACATAAAACAGGACTTTTTCAAGATTACCGAACCATTCTTGCTTGAAGGAATCAATAAGACGACATTTAAATTCAGATAAAAACATAACTTTGTCTATATTGTAACAATTATCAAAAATATATGAATATTCATAACTATTTAAGATATTTTTAACATTAGAAACCCTATCTTCAATTGCCTGTGTGTAAACTGTTTTTTAATATTATATTAACTTGTATTTACTACAAGTTTTAACCAGAACTTAATTATTCTCACATATCTATCAATATATAATGGATATCTGCCAAGTTCACCATATACACTAGTATTACAAGTATTTAATCTAACTTTTAACAATCTTTTACAAAATTTTAAATGTATTCTTTCAATTTCCTTAGATTGAGAATAACCCCAAATTTCAAATGAATAATTTAGTATTGGTGAAACGAAGGCATCAAACAATTGACATAATGTTTTTGGACTAGAATCATACTCTTTACATTTACATAACAGCATATTTATTGATTTTAAAGCTTTTGCAATTAAAAGTTCTTGATTTAGAATATATTTACCGGTATAATTAAAAACAGTACCTAGATAATTGAAATCATTAACAGCTTCGATTTCTTGGCCATCATAGGTCCAATGCTCCGATGCTAAAAGAGCACCCCTTTTTCAAAA